GTCGCCCGAGGCCGCGAAGCCCTGCGCGGGGGGCCAAGCGGCTGCCTGCGCCGGCTGCTCCCCGGCGCCTGTCGGGCGGCGCGGCTCACTGCCGCGCTGGGTCTGCGTTGCGTCGCGGCGGCTGCGCCCGCGGCTGCAGTCGCCCGACGCCCAGCGGCGGCTCCGGTCGCGTGAGCGGCTCCGGTCACGGGACCCCCCGCGGCGGCTCCGGTCGCGGCGGCGCCTCACGCGGCGGTCCCGCCTGCGGCCGGAGGAGCTCGCGCGCGGCGTCGGGCTAGCGCCACGGTCCATCTCCGCGGGGCCTTGCTCGGTGACTGCGGGACGGGGCAGAGGGGGGGCGAACCTCCAAGTCAGGGCCGGTCTTGAGCCGGAGCCGGCGGCGCCCGCGGGGGGGGCCGTCAATCGGGCAAGGGGGCGAGGGAGGGAGGCCTGGTCCGCGCGCCACGCCCTACCTTGCCTCTGTCCCGGGCCTTCATTGACGAGCCAGCGCAGGGGGAGGGGGGGAGCGGGCAGAGCTCCGACCTCGCCTCGCCGCGCCTCACCACGACTTCGGGGGGGGAAGGGGGGGGGCGGGGGGAACGAGGGGGGAGGGAGGGAGGGGGGGAAGCTCAAGCCTCGCCTCTCCACGCCTCGCCTCGCCTCAGGGGGGGGCCGGGCGATGGCGCAGGCGAGGTCTTCGTACCCCGAACCCGCCGGGTCACGGCCAGCAGCTCCACTGGCCGACGCGTTCGAGCCATGAGCCGCCGCAGCGGCGGGGATTCTCGCCCCCCCGGGCAGGGAAGGAGGGAGGGGGGGGAGGGGGAAGAGAGGGGGGACGAGGACGGAAGGAGGGCAGAGGAGGGGGAGGGAGGGAGGGATCCCCGCGCGTCCCCCTCGCGCCGTCCCGCCGCGGGCGCCGGCCCGGAGGCCCTCCCGGCCGGCGGACGGCGGCCCACTGACCGGCCTCGCGCCCGGCCCCTCCGGCTCGGGAGGGGGGGCCCAGACGAGGGGGGGCAAGTGGGGGGAACCGAACGCAGGAGAGGGCAGCAGGGGAGGGGGAGGGGTCCGCCCCAGCGTCCCACCGCCGGCCGGGAGGGCAGCCGGCCGGGAAAGCAGCCAGCCCTGGTCGGAGCTCGGTTTGCCCTTCGCGGGGGCTCTTGCCCTTCGGCGGGGGGGGCGAGAGGATCACCCCCAGAGGGAGGAGGGGAGAGGCAGGGAGGCGAAGAGGAGCAGGGAGAGCAGGCGAGGGAGGCAGGGGGGGGAAGAGAGCGGGGACGAGGACGGAAGGAGGGCAGAGGAGGGGGAGGGAGGGAGGGATCCCCGCGCGTCCCCCTCGCGCCGCCCCGCCGCGGGCGCCGGCCCGGAGGCCCTCCCGGCCGGCGGACGGCGGCCCACCGACCGGCCTCGCGCCCGGCCACTCCGGCTCGGGAGGGGGGGCCCAGACGAGGGGGGGCAAGGGGAGGAACCGAACGCAGGAGAGGGCAGCAGGGGAGGGGGAGGGGTCCGCCCCAGCGTCCCACCGCCGGCCGGGAGGGCAGCCGGCCGGGAAAGCAGCCAGCCCTGGTCGGAGCTCGGTTTGCCCTTCGCGGGGGCTCTTGCCCTTCGGCGGGGGGGGCGAGAGGATCACCCCCAGAGGGAGGAGGGGAGAGGCAGGGAGGCGAAGAGGAGCAGGGAGAGCAGGCGAGGGAGGCAGGGGGGGGAAAGGGGGGGGAGCAGGGGCGGGGAGGCGACGAGGAAAGGCAAGGGAGGGGCGGCCTGCAGCATGCATCCCCCGCCGGGCCACGCGGCCCCCGGCAGCGCGGGCCTCCTGGGTCCTCCGGGTAGCGGGCCCGACCGCGAACCCCCCGCCCCCCCGCCCCCCCCGGGAGGCCCGGGCCGGCCCCGGGCGCCGCCCCGGCGGCGGCCGGGGGGCCCCTTTTGAACCTAAGGGCAAACTTTTGCCAAAAGTTACCTCTTAGGTTCTAAGGGGAAGGGGGTCCAAAGGAGGGGGGGGGTGCTCCCCAAGGCTGGCCGGCGTGCCTCCCCTTTTTCCCCTCGCTCTTGCACGGCGCGCCGCCGCGCGCCGAGCGCCGCCGGCCGCCGGCCGGGGGCGGCCGCGGCGGCTGCTGCCCGGGGCGGCGGGGGCCCGGGGCCGGCCGCGGCCTGCCGCGGCCGCCGACGGGGCTCCTTCCCGGCGCGGGGTGTCGCGGGCCGCCGGGCAGCGCTGCGGCTGCCACTCGCTGCGGCTGCCCCGACTGCGGCTGCCCCTATCTGCGCCGCCGCTGGCCTCTTCCGGGCCGAGGCGCGCCTGGCTGGTGCGCGCGGAACCGTGAGCTCGTCCTCGATGTCTTCCTCGTCCTCAACCCCTGCGAGCTCGGCCAGCTCGCTGCCGCCGTCAAGGTCAGGCCAGACTTCCTCCTCGTCGTCGGCTGGCTCCTCCGGTTCGGCGGGGTCGGCTGCGGCCCCAGTGCGGCCGCCATCCGCCGCGCGGAGGTAGGTTGCTGCTGCGAGGTTCCTCCTCCATCGGCTGCGGTCCTTACCGCGCCCGAGGAAGAACGTGCGAAATACCTTTCCGATCTCGCACCACCAGTGCTGGAGTAGCACGTCCGGTGCCGCCGCCATATGGCGCGCCGTGCTGCGGACCACGGCTCGTGTCACGGGAGGTAGCCGCGCGAAGGCTGCTCTCCGGAGGAGGCGCCGTAGCTGGAGGCAGCGGCCGCGGCCCTGGCTCCATAGGTCTTCGATGGCTCCTACCTTGGTGCTGTCCGAGCTGCAGGTGCTGGCGCGCCCAAGGCTTATGTTGATGCCTTTCTCCGCGCCCGGCCCCAGGAGGGTGCCCACCGAGTGGTCGCCCGGTCGGGCCCGACGGGACCTCCAGTACAGGTGCGCATTTTTCGCTGTGAGGACGCCCATGCGGTTCGCTGTGAAGAGCCAGAGCCTCCTCGCCGGCCACTCGCTGCTGGCTTTCTCCGCTGTCTCCACCGCGCGGCAAATCTTTGCCCGGGCATCGCCACTTGTGCCCGCCCGCTGGAGCCTCTTGTTGAAGGCCGTTGTGAAAAGCTCGTCCCTAGGTGTCTCCTCGACTGCTGCCAGCAGCAAGGCTCGGAGGTCGCCGAGGGTGCCCGCCCATTGCTGGCCCTCGGGCACGCGTTGCTCGACGGCCGCGAGGAACCCCTTGCCATTCACTGCGGCCAGGGCCATGCACAAGGCAGCCTTGGGCCGCCAGTGCTTGCCGAGGCGCCCTCGGAGGGCAGCAACCCGGGTCGTCTGGGCATCAGTGTCTCCGAGGCTGAAGTGGTAGTTCCTCCAGACCTCGTACACATGATGCTCTCGCCTACACGCCCGCCACTCATAGTCTGAGTCCAGCTTCTCAAACTCCAAGACGTCCGCGGGGAGGCGCGCCACCTCCTGGCGCACCGCCGCGAGCTCCGCCGCCGACAGGGGGCCGTCTGGTCCGCCGCCGCGCTCGGCGAGGCAGAGGACGAGGGGCAGGAGCACGGGTTCCGGCACCCGCGGCTGTGCCCTCGGGTCCGCCCGCCGGCCGTTTGCTGGCAGGCGGAAGGACATAGGCCGTCGGCGGCGCCGAGGCGCCCCGGGGCGGCGGCGGCGGCCGGCCCACCAGGGCGGGGCGCCTGATCTGGGGGGGGGGGCACGGGAGGGGAGGGAGAGGGAGGGGGGGGCGAGGAGAGAGGGAGGGTGGGAGGGAGGCTCCGGCCTCGCCTCGCCACGCCTCACCTCGCCTCGGGGGGGGGAGGGCGGGCGAGGAGAGAGGGAGGGGTGGGGGGGAGGCTCCGGCCTCGCCTCGCCACGCCCTGAGCTGCGCCGGGGCCGCCGCGGGAGGGCCCTCGGCGCGGCACGGGCAGCGCGGGGGGCCGCGCGTGCCTGGGGGGGGGGCAGGGAGGGGGGGGGAGAGAGGGGGGGGGGGGAAGGGGAGAGGGAGGGTGGGGGGAGGCTCCGGCCTCGCCTCGCCACGCCTCACCTCGCCTCAGGGGGGGGGGGGGGGGGCGAGGAGAGGGGGAGGGTGGGGGGGAGGCTCCGGCCTCGCCTCGCCACGCCTCACCTCGCCTCGGGGGGGGGAGGGCGGGCGAGGAGAGAGGGAGGGGTGGGGGGGAGGCTCCGGCCTCGCCTCGCCACGCCCTGAGCTGCGCCGGGGCCGCCGCGGGGGGGCCCTCCGGCGCGGCACTGGGCAGCGCGGGGGCCGCCGCGTGCCCTGGGGGGCGGCGGCTGAGCCGCCGGGCAGTACCCCGCCGCGCGCCGCGGGCAGCGCAGCTCCCCCCAGGCGGCTCTATCGCGTGAGGGGGGGGACAAGGGGAGGGCCGCCGCTGGGGAGCGAGGCGCGCGCCCGGGCGGGGGGCCCCCTCGGGAGGACGAGGAAAAGGAGGAGGAAGGGGAGGAGGAGGAGGAGCACGAGGAGGAGAAGGAAGAGGAGGAGGCCAGCGGAGGGGGGAGGGAGGGGGGCAGGGGAGGGGAGGGCAGGCGGAGGGGGGGGAACGAGGGGGCGGGAAGGGAGAGGGGAGGAAGGGAGAGCGGGGCGCGGCGCGTGGGTGGCCGAGCCCTTGAGCCGGCACGGCGGCGGGGTTGATGGAGGGGTTACCTCGTGAAAGTAGGAGGGGGGGGGGAGGAGGGTGGGAGGGAGGGTTCAGCCTCGCCTCGCCACCTACCGCATCACGGGAGGTGAGGGGGGGGGGGAAGGGGCGGGAGGGTGGGAGGGAGGTGTAGGCCTCGCCTCGCCACGCCTCGCTGCGTCAGGGCGGGAGGGTGGGAGGGAGGTGTAGGCCTCGCCTCGCCACGCCTCGAGGGGAGGGGGAGGGGGAGGAGGGAGGGAGGGAGGGAGGAGGAGGAGAGCCGGAGAGGAGAGGAGGCGGAGGAGGAGGAGGAGGAGAAGGAGGAGGAGGAGGAGGAGAGCGAGGGGAGTGAGTGAGGGAGGGAGGGAGGGAGGGAGGGAGCAGGAGGAGGAGGAGGAGGCGGAGGAGGAGGAGGAGGAGGAGGAGGAGAGCGAGGGGAGGGAGGGAGGAGAGCGAGGGAGGGAGGAGGAGGGGCTCCTGATCGTGCGGGGCGTCGAACAGGAGGCCCTCGGGGTAGAGCATCGCCTGTTGCGCCCGGTCCGGCAGCCAGGGCAGCACGAGCGTAACCTCCCTGCCGCTCCTGCGGGCCCAGCGGCCGGCCCTCCCCTGCAAGCGAAACTCACGCTCTCTCTCGCTCTCGAAAGTGATGATGATGACGATGATGACGATGATGATGATGATGATGATGATGATGATGATGATGATGACGACGATGATGATGACAATGATGACGATGATGATGATATGATGATATGGTGGTGATGATGATGAAGATGAAGATGATGATGGTGAACATGATGAATATGATGAAGATGATGATGATGATGATGATGATGATGATGATGATGATGATGATGATGATGATGATGATGATGATGATATGATGATGGTGGTGATGATGAAGATGAAGATGAAGATGATGATGGTGAATATGATGAATATGATGAAGATCATGATGATGATGATGATGATGATGAGGATGCTGACGCTGATGGTGATGCTGCTGCTGATGATGGTGGTGGAAGTAGCGGTGGTGATGATGGTGATGGTGGTGATGATGATGACGAGGATGATGATGGTGATGATGATGAGCATTATCATCATCATCATCATCATCATCATCATCATCATCATCATCATCATGATCATGATCATGATCATGATCATGATCATCATCATCATCATCATCATCATCATCATCATCAGCATCATCATCATCATCATCATCGTCGGCATCGTCATCGTCATCATCATCATCAGCAACAGCGTCAGCATCAGCATCAACAACAACAGCAACAACATTAGCATCAACATCATCATCTTCTTCGGCCCTGGCACTGGACCCGTTTCAGGTCTGGTTAGGACGAGGCCGGGAAGACGACACATTCGGGTGGGGAGAAATCGAGAACGTCTGAGATCTCGCGGCTCGGGGGGATGTCTCTGGCGCCGCGGCCCTCTCAGGCCATTCTGGAACGCTCTGACGGTGGTCTGGACCGCTCTGGAAAGAATCTATCCTCGTCGTAGCCCCGTCCAACTGGTGCCCACGGGGGCCATGAGCATCGTTTATCCGATCCGTATCCCCAGCGGCGTGGCCTGGGCCCCACTGGCCGATTTACTCCCCTAGATGGGGATATAGGCTGCTCACTTCGGGTTTCGAGGGGTGTATCCCAAACTGGGGGGGTAATTCGGTGGGGGTCTCGAGGGGATGGGATGGGGATGGGGGTCGGTTAAACGATACGGAGGCTAGGCGCGTCGGCCAGAAGTCCAAAAGCTCATCGCCAGGGGCGCGTCCATCGATGGCTTCTCGCAACGCCCGGGCGGGGGACGACGGCCCGCCCGGGGTGCCGGCGTCAGGACACGCCTCGAAAAACCTCCTCCTCGCTCTCTCTCCCTCCATCCCTCTCTCTCTCTCTCTCTCTCTCTCTTTTTGCTTATCTCTCTCTCTCTCTCTCTCGCTTTATTGTGTTTCTCTCTCTCTCTCTCTCTCGCTCTCTCGCTTTTTTGTTTCTCTCTCTCTCTCTCTCTCGCCCGCCCACGCAGCTTCACCTCGCCCGCACGCGCGACGCGAGCCCGAAACCGAAGCCGACTTCCCGGTGGGGGTGCTCTCCGTTCCACGTCGACCTCCCCCTCCCCAGCGTTCGACCTCGCGCCCAGGACACGCCTCGAAAAGCAGCCGCTCTCACTCTCTCCCTCCATGAGGGGCCTGTTTTCCACCACCACCACCACCACAAAGTTGGAGGGGGGAGGAGGTCCTCCTCCTCCTCCTCCTCCTCCTCCACCTCCTTCCCCCCTCCAACTTATGGTGGTGGTAATGGTGGAAAACAGGCCCATCACGACATCCCTCCCTCTCTCTCTCTTGTTCTTGTTTGTCTCTCTCTCTCTCTCTGCAACTCTCCCCTTGCCAGCGCTCGGCCGTCCACTCCCCGTGCCTCGTTTTCGGGGTCACGAGCCGTTTTGTTTCCAGGATGCAGCCGGACTTAGGCCGGAAGAACATCCCTCAAGAGCACGGTGCCCTCCGCCGACCAAAACAAACACGGAACATTCGAGGGCATGCACAAGAACGTCCAAAAAACAAGGCGAACGCTACAGGGTACCCTCCCCGAGCCGACCTCGATCTCAGACCTCGGTCCGTCTGTAAGCCAAGATGCTCCTCGAGGGCCCTAGCCGAGGAAAGAAACTGCCCACGCCCGACGAGCTTTATGTTGCTCCCATCGTAGTTGAGGACCACATCCCAAACATAATTTCGAGCACCCGGAAGAGCGTCGAAAGAGTTAGAAAAAGTGTCGAAACAGTGTCGGACGAGTGTTTCCCAGGGCCCGACACGTGAAAACCCTTGAGTTTCGGTACTTTTCTGGTGCACGAAAATCTTCCTAGTGCTCATGGCTAAAGTAAGTGCCGAGCTGTGCCAAAAAGACTGTCTGCCTCGGCCCGCTGTCCCGCGCCTGCCGGCCTCTCTCTCTCTCTGTCTCTCTCTGTCTCTCTCTCTCTCTCTCTCTCTCTCTCTCTCTCTGTATATATATAGATATATATATATATATATATATATATATATATATATATTATATATATCGCCATCGCTGGAACGCCCACTCCCTGTGCCTTTTTGTTCGGTGCGTCTCTTTTCTGTTTATAGACGAGCGCATTCCACTACTCGCGAAGTCGCTATCCGCACATGGCCTGGATCCTCCGCGGGGGATATGCGATAAGTTACAGCAAAGCAGACACGTGTTTTGTTTTGGAACGTTTGCGAGTAGGCACTGTGCGAGACGTGGAACGCGCTCGGCGAGTTTTGGGGGGCAGGATAATCTAGTATGCTCCTCGCCACCGCGTTCTCTCTCTCTCTCTCTCTCACTCTCTCTCTCTCTCTCTCTCCCCGTATCTCTCTCCTCGCCATCGCTCGGGCGCCCCCTCCTTGTGCCCTTTTGTCCGGTGGGTCTTTGTCTCTGTTTGGGGGGGCCAGAGACTCCAGGATGCTCCTCAAATAGGGGAACAAACAATTACATAAACATAAAAACTTAGAGGTCCGCGCGGATTTCCCGGATCGGCGCTGGACCCCCCTCCCTGGCGCCCGGAGCGCGCCAGGGGCGGCGCCGGAGGCGCCGCCGGGGGGGTCCAGCGCGGATCCGAAAAATCCGCGCGGACCTCCCAATGTTTGTGCTTATGCCATTCCACGTTCCCTTACCGAGGGCCCTCGCCGAGGTCTTAAGACGGTGCCAGAGGCCTGCTTGCCTCGGCCCGAGGCGCCCTCGGGCGACGGCGCCTCGGGCCGCCTCCCCTCGTAAGCATTTGCGCCCTGCTGCAGACCAACCCGCGCAAGGAAAAAGGACGCGCGGTGAGGCTGCCCAGGGGCCGTGGAAGGCTACGTCGAGGCTCGTCGAGCGGGGCGCAAGGAAGAGGAGGAGGAGGAGGAAGAAAACTAGGAGGAGGAGATTCCCGCGAGATCCCCCTCTGCCGCAGGCAGTCTCTTCCTTCCGACGCGGCCCCCCGCCGCGCGGCGCGCGCCGCGCGCGGGCCAACCGCTCTAGGGGGCCGCGCCCCTGAGGGCCGCCCCCTTCTCCACGCGCGTTTTGCGGAGGCGCGTGGAGCAAGGCGGCCGAGCGCGTCCTCTGCGGTGTCCGCGCTCCACCCCCGAGATCCTCAGCACCTCGCGAGGCACCCTCGGGGAGGCCTCCCCGAGCACCCCTCGCGGCATGCCTTCCAAGGAAGGTGGCAGTACTAGGCCCCTCCAACCCAGCGCGGCCGTGGGCGTCGCGATGGTGTTGGGCGGCTTGGTGCTGCTGGTCTTCTTTGTCGTGCTGGTCTCGGTGGTGCTCGGTGGCGTGGTGCAGCTGGGCGTGTTGCTGCTGGTCGCCGTCGTGCTGTTTTTCGATCGGTCGGCTGGCAGCGTAGAGGAGCCTGCGGACCCATTGCCTGCGGCGTTCCTCGTCAATGCACGATACAGTCACTTCAGCTGTCGTAGGTCGTTGAGGTTGTTGCACACAGGCTTGCTGCTCGTCGCATTGGAGTGGTGGCTGCTCGATCAGCTTGTCCTGGTGGTGGTAAGGCTGCTGTGGAGCGGTCGAAGAGCGCGGGCGAGGGCCTTCAAATGCATCTCCTCGCTGACGTCCCCTGACCGCCCCTTCTGGTGGACGCGGGGAGTACTCGTCCTCCCCCTCCACGCCGTTGCAGCAAACGGCTTGTGTCCTTGGTGGTGTCTGTGGAGGTTCGTTGGTCTGCATCTCTGGTGGCTCGTGGCTGCCGTCGCTGGGCGTTGTGCTGGTTTGGTCGCTGTCAGGTGCTGGGTCGCGTCGCTCCTGGCTGGTGGCTGCGCTGGTTTCGTCGTGTCTGTCCTGGTCGTTGTCGGCGAGCTCGGTCCATTTCAGGAGCTTGTAGTGTAAACTGCGGTATCCAGTGCGACGTGTGCATTCCGTGCGCATCTTCTCCGAAACATACTCGGTGGTGAAGGCACCGCAGTGGCGGCATAGCCAGCGGGATTCTGCTCGGATGAACATCAGCTCGTGGCTGTCGTGAGCCGTGCGTCCGTGCTGGGTGATAGCTCGTCCTTGTCGCAGTGGTGGTCCTGTGCACTGTTGGAACCAATCTCCTATTGCTGCAAAGCTGGTGTCTCGTCCGACACGCCGTGTGCAGCAGGTGCACACCCACCCCTTTCCCCGTCGGGGCCTGGCCAGGTTGTGTGGTAGGTGGGCGCTTACCAAATGGGTGCGGTGGTCCATCTGCGAAATAATCCCGTCTTCGTCTGAGTTGCTTGCGGTACTCTTGCTGCTGAGCTCGTCGTGCATTGCGTACTTCATGTGCTTCTGACGGGCGTCTGTCGATGGCGTCAATAGTGGCGGCGGTAATGCGCTTGCGGATAAGGGCGGCGGTGGCGTTGACCCACTGGTAGCAACCAGGCTGGCCCGCGTCCAATTGGTGCTCTGCGGCGGCTTGCTCTGCAAGACGATCCACTTGTGCGTTTCCAAACCATGCATGTAGTGGGAAACCTCGGCCTTGCGCTTCCTCCCAGGTCAGGTGGCTGTTGATGTGGTGGGCTTCGATGTGAGCTGGCCCTTGCTCGTCGCGGTGCGCAAGCTCTGTGCCGAT